ATATATATATATATATATATATATATACATACATATGCATATAATATATGTATATGTATATATATACATACATATGCTTATATATACATATATAAATGAATATATAAAAATACATATACGCATATGCATATGTATATATAATATATATAATGTATATACATATGTATTTATATGTGCATATGTAGGTATATATCTATGTGTATATATACATATATTTATTTCCATTTCTAACTGTGGCTGTAATCCTCTTACTTAGTGTACACATTACTGCGTTAGTGTTTGTGTTCATGTATATGTATATGTGTATATATATATATATATATATATATATATATATATATATATATATATATATATATATATATATACATGTGCGCGCGCACACATGTTATATATATATACACACACATATATACACACACACACACACACACACACACACACACACACACACACACACACACACACACACACACATATATATATATATATATATATATATATAATATGTGTGTATGTGTGTGTGTATGTTTATATATATATATTTACATATATATATATATATATATATATATATATATATATATATATATATATATATATATATATTGGAGTATTGGAGTACCAAGTCCAGTGATATAGATCTCGTCTCTGGTACCACGAGCCTGCAATCCTCAGCCTCCTAGATCTTGCGAAGTCTAAGAGGTATGAGCTACTGATGTTCCTAGTACCAGTGCGATAGGGACCGATGCATTGTCAGTGCCAAGACCATGAAGGTGTCCCCCCGGGAACAGAGTCAAGAGTCAAGTTTGGTGTAGAACAACTCTTTCTCTTTGAGCCCGCTTCCCTCAGTAGGTATACCGTGTATTAAGCACGTATAGGCCACGTGGGTTTGTTAGCCACATGGGCGCCCCACGCCACGCTGCCCAGCAAAGAACCATCGTCCCAGTGGCGTGCCTCAAGCGAACAGGCCCCAAGCTTAGTTGTCGGATACTTAAGGCCCGCGTTGGATCCCGGTCAGACAGAGTCAGTGCCCTGCTGCTGTCGGGTCAAGTCACCTTGGCCTTAGGGCGTCGGCGGTCAGTTATGCCCCCCCCCCCCCCTGCCAGGGCTGACCGCCGTCACCTCCCACGCTCCGCACTTATCCCAAGATTGTCACGTGTGTGTTCATATACCTGTGCGCTGTTCTTTTAGCAAATAAAGAGTCAAGAGCTATCAAGCTATTACTGCCCTGTTCACCAATGTATAAGAGGTTCAATAATACCCTTTACATCTGGTGGCAGGCGGTGGTTGTTGTGACCTTTGGCTCACAACTTGAATACAGTCTCTGAAGAAATCCGCTCGAAGCCGCTTACACTGAGGATCAATCTTCAAACCCGTGAGTACACATTTTGGGCTTTTCTCTTTTTCTTTTCTTCTCCATCTTCTCCCTATATGTGTTAAGCCGCATATATAGTCATGCTCACATTAGGTTTGTTGGGTTAAAGTGCTAATTGACAGAAAATGGCGCACTCTCATTCTTCTGACCTCACATTATTCATTACCGTGCGATAGGGTATGAAGTCAAACATTATAAATATTGTTAATTTATTAAGTGTTTATTTAATTTTTTTCTCGTGATTAGAGAATTATATTGTTTCAATTGCAACGAATTTAGCGCGTTCGTGATTTAATTATTGTCATATGATCAAACATAATTATCTTACTATAATTATGTATCCTATTTACCTTATAGAATAATATTAGTAACGTATCCCTCTATATATATTGCATGCGTACGTAATCCTTATGTAAACATTAGTGTTGCTCAGGAGAGCTCTGTATTTTATTCACCTTTCCCCTCAAATGGAGTAACAAAACAACATATAAAACATGGTGGCAGCTGTACTCCGTCTCCAAGCATAGATAAAGAGGGGAAAGAGGTAAAAACAATCTCGAGATACCGAAATGTGGAACTTTAAAATACGTGAGGTAAGCGACCAACCAGCATAGAGACAAAGTGCCACGTAGCACCTAAAACACGAAAGATCCGCCCTCAGCGAAGGTATCAAGACAAAGAAGACTGAAGTATATAATCAGTAGCGTAGCGAGGGGGTGGCAAGGGGGGGCAGCCGCCCCCCCAATGCTCAGAAAGTTGGTCTCTGAGAAAAGTGCAAATCTGCAATAAAATTTGTAGGGGGCCCCCCTACAAATTTTATTGCACAAATGGCATAGCTCATTATAAGCCATCTAAAAAGAGCCGTTTTCCAGCATTCTAAGGGGCGTGGTCTTAAATTTTCCCGGGGGAAGATTCCCGGACCCCCTGCTATTTTTCTTACCTGTTTGCCCCCCCAATCTTCCCGCTCTGGCTACGCCACTGTATATAATAAGCATGCGAAAGTAAGGCACAGTTCGCTTCATAGTTCCTGTGTACCCAACACAGCTCAACTTTGGTGCACCGAAAGTGTCTTAATACTCGCACTGCCACGTCAACAGCCATCAAAATGGCCGACGACGACAATTCTCGCCACACTCCAAGAATGAATTGGAAAACCAACGATTCATATGGATTCATACTTATGACTTTCCAAAGACATTGTATTAGATACTTCAAGGTCAAAGAGATACCAGTAGAAAAGCAGGCAAATCACATCATTCTGTATGCAGGCGCTACTGGAGAGGCAATGATACAGGCAAGCAAATTGATGATTTAAAAGACCCTGAAAAAGTTTGGAATGTTTTTCAGACCCAGGTAAAACCAAAGACAAACAAATACGTTGACAGACTTCGCTTGCGAAAATTCGCCCAGAGAGAAAATGAGTCTAGCGATGAGTTTGTGAATAGATGTGAAGCTCAAGCCAAGAGATGCAAATTTACTGAGGCAGAACATGAAACAAGAATCATTGAGCAATTCATGGAGGGAATACACAGTAACGATTTGCAAAGGAGCCTTATTATGGAAGGTGAAGAGATAGGGTTGAGCAAAGCCATTGACATTGCCAGATCTCATGAAGCAACTATAAGAGATAACAGAGACATGAGAGCCAAAACAGTCAATTATGACCTAAATGTCGATGCCGTGGGACTCCATAAATCCGCAAGGGAATCAAAATCATGCAACAAATGTGGGCGAACACACAATAAATCCCCCCCACAATCCTGCCCAGCATTGGTGCTAGACGCAATACGTGTGGCAAAATGAACCACTGGCAAAAAATGTGCTTTTCAATACCAGAAACCAAGAAGAAAGCATACAAGAGTAAGGGCACAAGCCAAAGTCATTATGCCGGAAACAAAGTCCTTAGGAACTTTAACAAAGAACCCAAGAAAGCTAACAGAACATACGCCGTGCATAAGTTCAGTCAAGATGACCCCAAGGAGGATTATTTCACAGTGAGTTCTGTTAGAGTAGAAGAGGTGTCGAACAGTCATGATAGTGAAGCTCTATCAAAGTCAAGACTCCTAGCAACAAAACTGGCTCAATGACAATCAAAGTCGATACAGGTGCTGGAGTAAACCTGCTCCCGATAAGAGCATTTCGAGTTATGTGTCCAGATTTAGTATATGCTCACGGGAAGCCGAAAGCTTATCTAACAATATGAAACTCAAGCATTTTGGGTCGATCAATTTAAAGTGCACCTTTGACGAGGAAAACTGGATTGATACAGACTTCTACATTATGGACCAAGAAGTCGGACCAATTATTTTAGGTCTGCCAAGCCTGAGAGCCCTGGGCATGGTAACAATTCATGAGGCGCGGATGCACCCGCAAACAACCATGGCCATCCAATCAGTGGATGATTTAAAGAAATCATACTCGAATCAGTTCAATAAAATCGGGAATATTCATGGAGAATACCACATAGTGTTGAAAGAGGGTTCAAAACCAGTTGTTCACGCACAGAGAAAATTCCCCATACATAAAAGGGAAGAACTTCAAAACCAGCTCGAAGACATGGAAAAGATAGGAGTTATCAAAAAGGTGTCGGGACCTACAGATTGGGTCAACAGCATGGTTTGCACCATAAAGAAGGATGGCAGCCTGCGTGTATGCTTAGATCCATAGGACCTGAATAAAGCCATAAAAAGAAGCCATCACAAAACACCTACGCAAGAGGAAATCACACACAAGTTTGCAGGCGCAAAAGTTTTCAGCAAACTTGATGCAAAGAATGGCTATTGGTCAGTCACACTTGATGAACCTAGTTCATTCCTGACTACATTCAACACTCCTTTTGGCCGCTACAGATATCTCAGAATGCCTTTTGGCCTGATGATGTCACAAGATGTTTTCCAGCAAAAAATGGATCAGATCCTTGAAAACTGTCCTGGTACCATTGGCATTGCTGATGATGTAGTTGTGTTTGGAAAAACTGAAGAGGAGCATGACATAAACCTGCATAACCTCCTCAAGATTGCCAGGCAGAAAGGATTAACCTTCAACAGTGCAAAGTGTGTGATCAAGCAAGAACAAGTGAAATTCTTCGGAACTGTTTACGACAAGGAAGGCTCTCACCCAGATCCAGACAAGGTATCAGCAATTAAAGCACTGCCGAGCCCAACAAATGTTACAGAGCTGCAACAATTTTTGGGAATGGTCACATATATGTCACCATTTATCCCAAACCTGGCTGATGAAACTGCACCACTCAGAAGTCTCCTGAAAAAAGATGTAGACTTTACATGGTCACCAACCCACGAGAAGGCATTCGAACATATTAAGAATATCCTGTGCACAGATGCAACACTGGCACATTTCAATCCAAACAAACCAACAGTCATACAAGTAGATGCATCACAAAAGGGTATTGGTGCTGCATTATGCATCCAAGTCTCTGTCTGAAACAGAGCAACGTTATGCCAATATCGAAAGGGAACTACTTGCAGTGGTATTTGGATGTGAAAGATTTCATACTTATGTATACGGCAAAGCATTCCAGGTGGAGAGTGACCACAAACCACTAGAAATGATTCAGCTAAAGAATCTGACAGCCGCACCACCCAGACTGTAGCGTATGCTGATGAGGCTGCAGCACTATGATGTCACGATCCGGTACAAGCCAGGGAAAGACCTGTTACTAGCAGACGGTCTATCGCGCTTGCCATCAACGGATAATCAACATATTGGTCTAGACATACAGATCAACTTTGTTACATTCAGCAACGAGAAACTGGTCACACTTCGACAGGAAACCTCAAGAGATGCCATCCTGCATGAACTGAAAGAAATCATTATACAAGGATGGCCAGAAAAGATGAAAGACCTACCGAGAATGTTGCAACCATACTGGTCCTTCAGAGACGAGCTATCTAATGAAGACAGGCTTGTGATAAAAGGCAGCAGAGTCATAATCCCAGTTTCCATGCAGAAACTTGTGCTCGATCGCATCCATGAAGGACACCAAGGCATCACGAAATGCCAACTTCGAGCCAAAGACTGTGTGTACTGGACTTCAATCAACAGAGACATTGAAGATATAGTTCAGCAGTGTTCCATATGCCAAGAAACGTCAAGGTCACAAACAAAGGAAACTCTCATCCCACATGAACTACCTACACGACCATGGCAGTATGTTGGAACAGATCTTTTCCATTATGGAGAAAATGACTACCTGATTATAGCGGACTACTACTCAAAGTTTGAGTCACAAGCACTGCTGTGATCAAAGGATTAAAGAACTTGTTTTCTGAGTATGGAGTTTCTGAAAAAGTATATAGTGACAACGGACGCCAATATAGCTCAGAAGAATTTGCAACATTTGCTTCGAACTGGGAGTTGGAACATATAACAAGCTCACCCCACTATCCTCAGTCAAATGGATTCATTGAAAGAATAATCCAAACCGTCAAGAACACCCTCGACAAGGCAAAAAGAAGCAACAAGGATCCAGATATGGCATTGTTAACACTACGTACCACACCGCTGGATAGCAAGTTGCCAAGCCCAGCAGAGCTTCTGAACGGGAGGAAGATGAGGAGTAACTTACCACTTCACCTGCCCACAAGGGAAGGGCAAAAACAAGATGTCTATGAAAACTTCAAGAAGAAGCAAGACACACAGAAGCAGTATTACGACCGAGGAGCAAAAGACCAACAAGCACTCCTACCAGGCCAAGCTGTGCGAGTTCAAGACCACATTTCTGGAAGATGGACACCCGCTACAGTCGTTGAGAAATCCCAGGAACCTCGATCATATATAGTTGAAACACAAGATGGAGGTATCTTAAGAAGAAACAGACGACACATCAAACAAACTCCACAACCCAAGCATCCACTTCCAGATGAACACCATGCAGATGAACCCACTGGGACTACAGTAAATATGGATAATGAGCAAGACCATGTGAGCAAGGCTCCTAAAGTAGTGCCTCAAGAACAAGAATCAACTTGCGATGGCACAAGAACAAGAAGTGGCCGTACCATCAAGAAACCCAATAGATTGGACTTATAATATGTTTCAGTTTCCAGTGTTTATGTGTAGTGTTCAATAGTGTTAAGGAAAGTGCTATAATAATGGCCAGTATACTAATGTGATTCTCAAAACAAGGTGCTATATTCCTACCTATTTCTTTTTGAAAATTACTGAAAACAAGGTGCTACATTCCTACCTAATTCCTTTTGAAAATTACTGAAAACAAGGTGCTATATTCCTACCTAATTCCTTTTGAAAATTACTGAAAACAAGGTGCTATATTCCTACCTAATTCCTTTTGAAAATTACTGAAAACAAGGTGCTATATTCCTACCCAATTTCTTTGAAAATTAATGAAAAGGGTGCTAAAATTTATATTACATGTCTGTGAACTACAAAGTATTCTCAGGTGCAATCTCAGTTACCCAACCATAGAAGCTCATTCAATGTGAAACTCTATTTTTGATACACTGCAGATTCTCACATATTTTTGCAACTAATTACCAAATAGTACTTCAAGTATGATATGAAACTAACCCCATTATCTTTTGTTTTTTGAAAAAGAGGGATGTCATATGATCAAACATAATTATCTTACTATAATTATGTATCCTATTTACCTTATAGAATAATGAATTTAGCGCGTTCGTGATTTAATTGTTTTCACGAATATCACTCATTATTTTCTTTCTCCGAACTTATTAATCACACCTTGTTCACACCTTTAAATGCTGCTGGCATGTTTGGGTTAATCCCATCAATTTGTGATTCATGATAAATCCCCGTAGGGCATTTCATGAGCGCCCATCATAGATCTGCAGATAGAATGGGTTATTTATAAATTTTCCCAGCTCGTATAGCTTCGGAGGAGTGTAAACTGCCACTAGAGGTAAGCTCAAAGTGTGCTTCATTCTCACAAGCAGAATGCGCCCGTCAACAGGGGTAACCTTCTTGACTGAGGAATGGAAGCAATCAGAGACAGCCACCACAACTCCCCTAAGGAGCACCATTGCTACAGCCAGACCAGTAGTAGATATAACCCCACTACTGGTCTCACCACTACCAGGCCGTCGCACCTCAGATAGAGCAGCGATGGCTATCCCCAGCCTCCCCAGCTCCCCCGACAACAAAGGCAGTCAATCATCCTCTGAGAGACTGAGGATGTTCCAGGCCGCTACAGGGAACACTCGCCGCAGATTGACCCCATTTGTGGGCCTCTGGCCGGGCGACGCCTCGGCACAATCAGGCAAGCCTCCCAAGGAGGAAGAGTGGGGGTCGGGGGGGCTTTGTCCTACACCCGTCATACCAGGTAAAACCTAACGATGAAAAACTACATATATATATATATATATATATATATATATATATATATATATATATATATATATATATATATATATATATATGACCGGCTAGTAACACTTAGCATCCCTTCCTCTTTGTTGGCTTTCTTTATTTCTTACTATCCTGGCCCCTACGATATCCGACACGGTACCGATGGAAGACCTTGTTGGAGAAACGGTTACCTTAGGATGCTGTGGGAAGGACGTCACCGGAAGATCGCCATAGGCCTGCGGACCAGGATGTTCGTCAGCGCAGGTATTGGCCGCCCAAAGATGCCGATGAGGACGCCGCTTGCCCAGATGCCCGTAGATCTAAACTCAGGCTACGAGGAGGTCTGGACGAGACCTTCGAGGACGAGTGGACGTCGAGGACGGATGGTGGTCGAGCAATATGGCCCGCACATAAGCACGATTTGGATAAGCAATTAGGCTAAAAGACCACGTGAGTGTTTGCCACGTGGCTCTAAGTCAGTTTGGAACCATCACATCAGTGGGGCTTAGATGACGATTATATCTGACCTCGACTGACTCTACAGTTTGCTCCCAGCATTCGGGCCCCCAGCGCTGACTGGCTGGACACACGACACCCCACTCAACGCTTGTCCCAAGACAACGTCTCGTGTGTTCCCTTTACTGTGTAGTACTCTTGTATGCTATACAAATATTACCGCCCTGCTAGCCAATATATTGCGATTATAGCCTCTTATACCATACATATACATATATATATATATATATATATATATATATATATATATATATATATATATATATATATATATATATATATGTATGTGTGTTTATATATATATATATATATATATATATATATATATATATATATATATATATATATATATATATATATGTATATATATATATATATATATATATATATATATATGTATGTATATATATATATATATATATATATATATATATATATATATATATATATATACATATATATATATATATATGTGTATATATATGTGTGTGTGTGTATATATATATATATATATATATATATATATATATATATATATATATATATATATATGAATGAATTAAGAAAACACTGGTTGCTGTGTCGTTTTGGCTCGCAACACGAACACACAGTTTCCGAAATCCGCTCGACCCATTGCTTCCACGATCGACCATGTCTTGAAAACCACGTGAGTACACGTTTTGGGCCTCTTTATTTCTCTGCCCTCCCTTCTTCCCCCATAAATGTGTCAGTGCCAAGCTGTATGGGGATTCATGTAGGTTTTGTTGGGTAAAAGTGCTAAGCAGCAGCAAATGGCATGTTCTCACAATATTCTTCTGGCCTCAGATTGCATTACTGTGTGATCACGGCATGTAGTCAACATGAATACCATTCATTAATCAAGCATTTAATAAATTTCCTCGTTATCAGAGAATTATATTGTTTCAACTGCAACGAATTTAACGCGTTCGTAATTTTATCTTTATCGGGGATACCATTTAATTTATTTCCATTCTCTTAGCGCATTTCCCGTCTTGACCTGGCCTCGCTTTCTCACACTTCCGGTCGGTCGACACGTGAGATGGCTTGAGAAACAGCTCGCTGTTCCCATAAATTGGTTGTAATTGTTTGCATCATACATTGCTCAATGATGAAAAGGCTCTATCGGCTCTAAGGCCGAGCTTGTAACGTGAATTTAATGTAAATTTATTACTTGAGCATACCGTTAGAATCTTCCTCATATAATGCACAGGGATGCCAGGGGTTGTGTGAATCGCCTAATAGATCTACGCTCCGACAGGTACAGGTACGATCGGCAACTTTTTAGTCGGGTGATCTGAAGTATGTACGTTATATAATGTAGGACTAGGGCTCAAGCTAAAATCGTTATTTGCGGATCGCTACTGACGTCTCCCTTTCCTTTTTTTTTTCTTTGTGAAAGTAAAACACAAAATGAAAAAAGACGAAAATAACGTAAAAACGAACATTAAAAACTGCAGATTAATATAAATAATCGGCTAGTAGCGCTTAACACTCTTCTATGTTTCCTTTCTTTTTCTCTTACTATTTTGCCCCTTACGTGTATAATCTGGTTCACCGATATCTGATACGGCACCGAAGGAGGACCCTGCTGCAGAGACGGTCACCTTAGGATGCTGTGGGAAAGACATCACCGGATCGCAAGAAGCCTGGAGACCAGGATGTTCGTCAGAGAAGGTATCGCCCCAGGATGTGGAAGGGCGCCGCCCGTAGATCCTGCGAAGGATCAGGAAATCGCCAGCGCAGGTACCAGTCGTCCCTTGATGCTGTGGACGGGTGCTACCTGACAGGACGCCTGCAGATCCAGTCAAACTCCAGGAGCTCGTCAGCGCAGGTATCAGCTGCCCTGAGATGCCGAAGAGGACGCCTCCTGCCTGGACGCCCGTAGATCCAAACGAAGATTATGAGGACGTCTAGACGAGCACACAGCCGAGAAGGACTGTAAGAGTTATATAGGGGACCTCTAAACATTGGTGACAGGGAGTATTAAAAGCTTGGTGGCTCAAAACTCTTTATTCTATAAGAGTTCAAACACACAGTGGATAAGACAATGATGACAAGGCTTGGGTTAAGGTGAGGGCGCCTAGGTCAGACGGCGAGCCCTGCCAAACGGCACCTGGCCGCGCAGTCAGACATGACCCCGCTGCGGCACAGAACACTCTGCCTACAGGGGTCACCTGCAGGCCTTAAATATCCGAGTGTTGGCTTGGGGAACGCGGCTAGGTCGCTAGGTACCACATTGAATTTAACATTGAATGATATGCGACAAAATGACACATTAATGAATGGTGACGTGAAAAATTATTCGTAAGCCTTTTCGCGAGGAAATCTTTAGGTGTCTTTACCGACCACGCAGACTTCACTTGACGGGGGGGGGGGCCGTCCCCAAAATTCCGTATTTTATGAAGCTTAAACGAGTTGGGAAAATCTATAAATTACCCACTCTATCTGCGGATCTACGATGGGCGCTCATGAAATGCCCTACGGGGATTTATCATGAATCACAAAATCGATGAGATCTACCCAACATGACGGCGACATATAAAGTGTGAGCGGGTTGTGATTAATTAAGTGGATCCTAAATCAGACTTAAATCCTAATCCTAAATTAATGGACATTATTTCGGTCACCCTGGCTCAAAGTTTACCGAACATATGATTTACTTCAGTTACTTTAACTTACTATCATCTGCCGGAGACGCCGAGTACATTACGCAAAAAAAAAATGCAACCTCAAGTATTCAGACACTCTGACACTATGTATGAGGATATCCATTGACGTTATATTCAATTATACGTGTCGCGTTACAAGTTCCGTTCTAGCGCCGATAGAACTTGTCACTGATGAACAAGTAACGGTTGCTATGCATTAACCCTATATTGTGACAACTAGTTCAAACAGTTAAAAGGGAATTGGCAAGCTGTTTTTCTCCACCATTTACTGTGATAACCACTCCTAGTGAAAGTCAGATCAGGTCATGACAGCTATTCGAAGAATGACCATCAGGTGAGGTCAGGTCATGACAGCTGTCCCCAAGTGGACTCTGATTAACGACTTTCAGGTGAGGTCAGGGCAAGACAGAAAAATGGAGAGAGATGAATTTAATGAGTGAATATTCGTGAAAGAATAAATTCACGAACGCACTAAATTCGACACAATTGAAACAATACAATTTAATCATGAAAAAATTAAATAGACGCTTAATAAATGAACGATTTCATACTGTTTAACTCCATACCGCGATTGACAGTAAGAAGTGAGGTCAAGAAGAGGAGATGAGAGTGAGAGCGAGCCATTGCTGCAATTAGCACTTTAAAAAAAAAAAAAAAAAAAAAAAAAAAAAAAAAAAAAAAAAAAAAAAAAAAAAAAAAAAAAAAAAAAAAAAAAAAAAAAAAAAAAAAAAAAAAAAAAAAAAAAAAAAAAAAAAAAAAAAAAAAAAAAAAAAAAAAAAAAAAAAAAAAAAAAAAAAAAAAAAAAAAAAAAAAAAAAAAAAAAAAAAAAAAAAAAAAAAAAAAAAAAAAAAAAAAAAAAAAAAAAAAAAAAAAAAAAAAAAAAAAAAAAAAAAAAAAAAAAAAAAAAAAAAAAAAAAAAAAAAAAAAAAAAAAAAAAAAAAAAAAAAAAAAAAAAAAAAAAAAAAAAAAAAAAAAAAAAAAAAAAAAAAAAAAAAAAAAAAAAAAAAAAAAAAAAAAAAAAAAAAAAAAAAAAAAAAAAAAAAAAAAAAAAAAAAAAAAAAAAAAAAAAAAAAAAAAAAAAAAAAAAAAAAAAAAAAAAAAAAAAAAAAAAAAAAAAAAAAAAAAAAAAAAAAAAAAAAAAAAAAAAAAAAACAAACGTGAGCTGGCTGTACACGGCCTACACATTTAGGAAAAAAATAGAAAAGAAATGAAAAGAGAAAGGGGCCCAAAATGTGTACTCACAGTTTCTTGAAGAAATGTCATCTTGCGTTTGCTTGAAGCCGAGCGGTTTTCTTCGGAGGATGATTCGGTTGCGTGCCAAAAGGACGCAACTACCACCTATGCCACCAGAATGTAAGAGTTATATAGGGGACCTCTAAACATAGGTGACAGGGAGTATTAAAAGCTTGGTGGCTCAAAACTCTTTATTCTATAAGAGTTCAAACACACAGTGGATAACACGACGAGGCTTGGGTTAAGGTGAGGGCGCCTAGGTCAGACGGCGAGCCCTGCCAAACGGCACCTGGCCGCGCGGTCAGACGTGACCCCGCCGCGGCACAGAACACTCTGCCTACAGGGGTCACCTGCAGGCCTTAAATATCCGAGTGTTGGCTTGGGG